AGAAATTGAGAGTACGGAGGAAAGGAGAGAAAGATTAGAAAATGATGCAAAGAGACATGCACAGCAAAGACGACAACAGCGAGAAAATGAGAGTACGGAAGAAAGAAGGGAGAGATTAAAACATGATGCAGAGAGACATGTACAGCAAAGGCTGTTAGAAACTGATGAGGCAAGGACACAACGTTTAGAAGGCGATGCTCAGAAACATGCTCAGAGGAGGGTCGATGAAAATGAGGAAGTAAGAAGAAAACGAGTGGAAGATGTTTCTAAAAGACGTGCACACAGGCATGTTGAGAGAATACGCCAAGAAAGAAACTTGAATTATCATGTTGCGCTTATTGTAAAAGAGGAGGAAATTAAAGTAAAAGTTCACAAATTAGGCCCAATGAATGTGATATGCAATTTTTGCAAATCATTAAACTTTGAATGTGAAAAGGAAAATAAGGGAATATTCACATATTGTTGCCAAAAGGGAAGGGTAAATTTGAAACCAATAACATGTCCGGAATTTCTACGAAAATTATACATGGGAAAAGATGGTAAATCTAGGAATTTCTTGAAAAATATTCGTTTATATAATAGTGCATTAGCAATGGCTTCGATGGGTGCTCCAGGAAATAGGAATCCTTTGGAAGTAGTGAACGTTGCGCCTTATTGCTTAAAAATTCATGGGCAATATCATCATTTGACCTCGACGGCAATGCGTCCAGCAGAAGGAGAAGCTCCACGTTTTGCACAGCTTTATTTTATAGATACTGAAGAAGCTGTAAATCAAAGATTAAAAAGAGAAGCAACTACAGATTTCGATGCAAGTCTGATGAGAGAGTTGACAATTCTCATGGAGCATGACAATTTATTAGCGAGGACGTTTAAGATGATGCGTCAGATAGAAATAGATTTAAATCCTCAGGGTATTCAAGCACCAAATTTGATGTTGTCGTTCAGAAAAGATCCGAAAAAAGATAAAAGAAGGTATAATGCTCCATGTGCAAATGAAATAGCCGTGGTCTTTAATAATGTTGATGGTGAACCTCCATTTGAGAGGGACATTAGGATATATAACAAAAATTCAAACGATGTCCAACAAATTTCAATTCTGGATAAAAGGTGTGACCCAATGTGTTATCCTTTATTATATCCATATGGCACCGATGGATGGCATTCTGAAATGAAATCAAATAATCCTCTATATCAAGGATATAAAATTTCTCAGATGAATTATTATGCTTACTTGCTGGCACCTAGAAAAGAATTTAGTCAATTTAAAATGGCAGGCAAGTTGAGATGTCAATTCATACTAGATGCCTATATGAAAACTGAGGCTAACAGACTTAATTATATTAAATTAAATCAGCCGAAGTTAAGAGCAGAATTGTATTCAGGGTTAATGGATCACTTAGATAATCGAGAACAAAATGAAGGAATTAAAGCTGGTGTACCAGTAATATTACCATCATCATTTATGGGAAGTCCAAGGAACATGCAAGAAAGATATCAAGATGCAATGTCTATGGTGAGAAAGTTTGGGAAACCAGATATCTTTTTAACGATGACATGCAATCCACAGTCTCTGGGAATTAAGGAAAACCTTGATGGATGCCAGGTAGAATATCGTCCAGATTTAGTAGCAAAAACATTCAACTTGGATGTAAAAGAACTAATGAGAGATCTAATGCAAAAGGAAATTTTCGGAAAAATCATAGCCTATGTAGGCGTAATTGAGTTTCAAAAAAGAGGACTGCCACATTTGCATTTACTTGCAATGTTAGGTGATGAAGAGAAGCCAAGAGATGAAGAAATAATAGATAAGATGGTATGGGCTGAAATCCCTGATGAAGAAAGGTATCCAGAGCTTCATGCAATGGTTTTACGACATATGATTCACGGACCATGTGACGAAACATCGAGAAGATATCCTTGCATAGGGGAAGATGGAAATTGTACAAAAGGCTATCCGAAAGAATTTAGAGAGGAAACAAAAGCAAATGAGAATGGGTATCCCATGTATCAAAGAAGGAATACAGGGAAAAAATACAAGGTAAGAGGAAAAGAAATTGATAATCGATGGGTAGTGCCATATTCGCCATATTTATTAATGAAATATGATCGGCACACGAATTTGGAAATATGTTCATCAGTAAAAAGCGTTAAATACTTATACAAGTACATTCATAAAGGATTTGATTGTGCTGCCATTGAGGTGCAAGCAAGAGATGGAACGAAACTCATTAAAATAGATGAGGTAAAATCATTTATGGATGCAAGATATGTTAGTACACCAGAAGCAATGTGGAGACTGAACGGATATGAAATGTTTATGAAGTCTCATACAATAATAAGACTGGCAGTTCATTTGCCTAATCGCCAAATGGTATATTTCAAAGAGGGAAATGAAGAGCAAGCAGCAATAAGTGCGCAGAGAAGGGACACTACACTTACTGCATCGTTTAAATTGAATCAAGATGATGAAAGAGCGAGGGATTTATTATACACAGAGATTTCGTCACAATATGTGTATGAAAAGAAAGAAACAAAATGGAAATTACGTCAAAAAGGAACAGAAAAGATCATTTCAAGACTATATATAGTAAGCATAAAAGATAATGAAAGATATTATTTACGAATGCTTCTTCTACATGTTGCGGGAGCTAAATGTTACGAGGATCTGAGAACTGTCAACGGAGTTCTTTATGAGATGTTTAAAGATGCGGCAAAAACAAGAAATTTGATAGAATCAGACGATCAATGGGACAAAACGCTAGAAGAAGCGAAAGAGAGCCAAATGCCTGCACAGATTAGAGAACTATTTGCTTATATTTGCATATATGGAACGCCTATAGATGTACCAACACTTTGGAATAAATATAAAGACGCAATGATTGAAGATTATGTACATAAAAATATGAATAATCCAGAAAATATAGCTATGAATTATATCGAGGAAATTATGAGAAATAATGGAACTAGCTGCATAAACTTCAAATTGCCAAAACCGAAGTCATTGAAAATTACTAAAATAGAATATAATTCAGATGAGGAAAGAAGTAGAGGAGAAGATTTATTATTGACATTAAATGCAGAGCAAAAGCACGTGTACGAATTAGTAATGCGAGCAATTGAAAATGAGAATGAAGTCAAAAGATTATTTTTTATAGACGGATTTGCTGGAAGTGGAAAAACATACCTGTTTAATACATTACTAAGTGTAATCAGAGGAAGAAACGAGGTGGTTTTACCATGTGCGTCAACAGGCATAGCAGCAACACTTCTAAAGGGAGGAAGAACATATCACAGTTTGTTCAAGCTAACAATACCAATAGATGAGAGAACGAAATCAAATATCAGAGGAAAAACGCAGGAAGCAAGACAATTAATTTCTGCGAAACTAATAATATGGGATGAAGTGAGCATGACTGTAGGACAAGCTCTAACAGCAGTCGATAAATTATTAAGAGATCTGATGAGGAATAAAAAACCATTTG